ACAGGAAGCCCTATTCTTGCAGGAATCTTCCTGCAACAGGCCTCTAGTATTAGTATATATATCGGTTGTGTTTTCTTATCCATTTAGCTAACCTATGTCTTTTAATTGGAGCATTTAAGCCATTAACAATTAAAGTGATTATTGGTAGGTTTGTATTTATTGTCATTTTATTCTTTATAACTATGTTTCTCTGGTTATTTTTGTTCTTACGGAAGACTCTTTAACATTTCTTGTAATACTGGTTTGGTGGTGATGCACTCCTTTACTTTTTTCTTGTCTGGAAGTTCTTTATTTCTCCCTCAATTTTATTTTATTTTATTTATTTATTTTATTTTTTAAAATAAATATATTTTATTGATTTTTTACAGAGAGGAAGGGAGAGGGATAGAGAGTTAGAAACATCGATGAGAGAGAAACATCGATCAGCTGCCTCCTGCACACCTCCTACTGGGGATTTGCCTGCAACCAAGGTACATGCATGCCCTTGACCGGAATTGAACCTGGGACCTTTCAGTCTGCAGGCCGATGCTCTATCCACTGAGCCAAACCAGTTAGGGCTCTCCCTCAATTTTAAATAATAATCTTTCTAGGTAAAATGTAGGTTTCTGCTTTTCATCACTTGTTAATCCTCCCCCAAGAATATTTTTCCATTGATTTTTAGAGAGAGTGGGAGGGAGGGGAGAGACAGAGAGAGAAACATCAATGTGAAAAAGACACATCAATTGGTTGCCTCCCTGACTAGGGCCAGGGATCAAGCCTGCAGCTGAGGTACATGCCCATGACTGGAATCAAACCCCAGACCTTTCAGTCTGTAGGCCAACAGTTGGACATCTGAGTCAGACTGGCGAGGGTGCTTTTCATCACTTTGAATATTTCATGCCAAGCCCTTCTGGCCAGAAATGTTTCTGTTGAGAAATCAACTTAACAGTATAGGCGTTCCCTTGTAGACAACTGTCTTTTCACTTCCTGCTTTTAAGATTCTCTTTTTGTCTTTAAACTTTGCCATTTTAATTGTGATATATCTTTGTGTGCATCTCTTTAGGTTCATGTTGTTTGGGACTTTCTGTGCTTCCTAGACTTTTGTATCTTTTCCTTTTACCAGATTAGGGAAGTTTTCAGCCAGTAATGTTTCAAATATGGCATCTGTTCTTTGCTCTCTGTCCTCTCCTTCTTGTATTCCTGTGATGAAGATGTTATCATGCTTCATGTTGTCCCACAGGTCCTTTAAATTATCCCAGTTTTGTTGTTGTTTTGTTTTGTTGTTATTAATCCTCACCTGAGGATATTTTTTCCATGGTTTTTTTTCTTTTTCTTTCTTTTTTTTTTTTTTAGAGAGTGGAAGATAGTTTTTTTTGTTACCTTGTCTTCTAAATGGCTGATTCCATCCTCTGCTTCATTTAACCTACAATTTATTCCTTCTAGTATGTTCTTCATTTCAGTTATTGTATTCTTCATTTAAAAATACTTATTTTTATTGATTTCAGAGAGGATGCTAGAGGGGAAGAGAGATAGAAACATTAATGATGAGAGAGAATCATAGATTGGCTGCCTCCTGCACATCCCATACTGGGGATCAAGCCTGCAACCTGGGCATGTGCACCAGCTGGGAATCGAACCATGACCTCCTGGTTCATAGGTCGATACACAACCACTGAGCCATGTGGGCCAGGCTCTTCATTGTTTTTTAATGTTTTCTATGTGTTTTGTTTTTTTTATTCTGATTTTCGAAGCCAAATGTTATGTGGGCGCCTCTTTGCAGCTCTGGTGCTCTGGGCTGGTATGCTTGGTGTGGGGTCAGAACCCCACACTCCTGAGGGGGAGCCTTTGTAGCTGAGATACCTTCTAGAATCTCAGCTACCACAAAAAGGGAATGGGGCCAGCCCTTTTTGTGTCTCCACTCTTTCTACCAGTCTCGGTGTTGTTTCTTCTGTAAATCCTTGATTATAAGACTTCTCTTCATTTAATCTTCAGTTGGTTATGCAGTTTGATTATTCTTTATTTTAGTTGTAATTTCAATTTGGTTCTGGGAGGGGGTGAGTGTACCTTCTACCTACTCTGCCACTATTTTGAATCTCTTTTCTTTTATTTCTGATTTTAATTGAGTCCTGTCTCTTTTTTTCTTGGTAAGTCTAGCTAAAGGTGTGTCAATTGTTTATCTTTTAAAAGAATCATATCTTAATTTTGTTGACCTTTTCAGTCTTTGTTTGGCATTTATTTCTGCCCTGATCTTTTTTATTTCCTTCCTTCTGCTAACTTTGGGCTTTATCTTTTTTTCTAGTTCTTCGAGATATAAAGTTAGGTTATTGGAGACTTTTGTTGTTTCTTGATGTAGGCACTTGTCCCTATAAACTTCCCCCCTAGAACTGCTTTTATCATATTCCATAAGTTTTGGGATGTTGTATTTCCATTTTCAATTGTCTTGGGGGTACTTTTTTCCTCTTTTTATTTCTTCTTTGACCCATTAGTTGTTCAGCTCATTAATATGTTTTGATTTATTAATTTCTTGAGCCTTTTTTTTCCTCACAAAATTTCATAACTCATATCCTTCTAAAGTTACTATGCAGTGTACATTATTTTCTTTTAGTTTTCTTGAAGTTAATACTTGGTATTTCTACTTTTTTACTTTACAGTTCAGTTCTCATTCCATTCTATTTCCAGCTCCTTATTTGAAGCTCACCAGTGGGTTTAGAATGGCACTCAGTTGTAGTAAAAAGAGTTCAGAATATTTAGTTAGAATTAGACAGCTAAAATGTCTGTTTTTGTCATTTACTCACTGTACAACTCTAGGAAAATATGTTTGTTACTCAAAATGTCATCTAAGGACCAATAATATTGAGTATTACCTGGTAGTTTGTTGGAAATGCAGAATTTGAGATTCCACCCCAGACCTGCTGAATTAGAATCTAAGATCTTTACATTGACCAACACTGTTAAGTCGTTATCATTGAAACTTAATTTTTTTATTTGTAAAGTACAGCTAATATTTGCTGGATGTATCAGTCATTTTGCTACCATATGTTTTGCCAATTTACTTATTGTCTGTCTGTTTTTTTAAATTAAACTTTGTCCGTTTATTTATTGCTCCTATTTTCTACATCTAGAACAGTGACTGGCCCATAGTAAACAATTTATTTTTTTGAATGAACAAATGAATGAATGCATTTCTTGTCAAATCTTGCCATTTCTATTGCATTCATTTATTTTCCTCTGCCATTTAGAACTATTTTTATTTAGAATTATTTACTATCTTTGGACAATACAAATATACTGAATTTCCATTGTTGCAGAAAGTTTGATGAGACAGCACTGCTTACACTTTTGTATTCCCTTTCCAATCCAGAACTTGTATTTCTACAATACAGGTCTGCTCATGTCTGTCAGTAATTCCCTATGCCATACAGAATTAAGTTCAAACTTCTTAGTGTAACCTTTAGAGTTTACAGTTTCATATAGTTAAAAATACATATCTTATAATGGGTACACTTATCAGCCGAGCCACTTAAACCCATTGCATGCATAGCATCTGTCTGAGCCATGTTGCATTGCCCTTGTAGGACTTGGGGAAAAGAGAAACCCATGAAAATAAGCTAATGATCCTTTGCTATGCCATGGAATAAAATATTTTGTTGTAATTGAGGAGTGTCATATCTTCTGCTAGCATACATGACACAGTAAAAGGCTAACTTGTTAGCTTATAAGGAGTGTGAAATCAAATCCCAGAGTAGATAGCATTTTCACATCACATTGAAAATTCTTTAAAAATCACTAAAAGATCTGCATAATATTTCATCAAATGTCTATACTGACATTTTTAATCTATAGTTCTGTTATTGAGTATTTAAATTATTTACACATTAGATTGCTGCTTTAAATGGCTTTGTAATAATTATCTTTGAGTTGAAAATATTGGTGTCTTTAATTGACTACTAGAACAGTGGTCGCCAACCGGTGGTCCGCAGACCACTGGTGGTACAAAAGGTCTGAAAGGTTGGTGCCGCTAGTGTAAGGAAACCTTTGAGCAGGGGTCTCCAACTGGTGGTCCACAGACTATTGGTGGTCCTTGAGGTCTGAAAGGTAGGCAGCCGCTGTACTAGAGGCCCAGTGCATGAACTCATGCACCAATGGGGTCCCTTGGCCTGGCCTGTGGGATCGGGCTGAAATCAGCTCTCTGACATCCCGAGGGGTCCTGGATTGCGAGAGGCACAGGCCAGGCCGAGGGACCCCACTGGTGCACGATCGGGGCCAGAGAGGGACGCAGGAGGTTGGCCAGCCAGGGAGGGACCACGGGAGGGCTCCAGGGTATGTCTGGCCCATTTCACTCAGCCCCAATCGGCCGGACCATTGCAGCAAGCTAACCTACCAGTAGGAGCATCTGCCCCCTGGTGGTCAGTGCACATTATAGCAACTGGTCTATTAGTCGACTGTCTGCCCCCTGGCGGTCAGTGCACATCATAGTGAGAGGTTGAGCAACCTTAGCATATCATTAGCATATTACACTTTGATTGGTTGAACGGCTGACTGGACACTTAGCATATTAGGCTTTTATTATATAGGATTTCTTTAGGGTTCCTTTCTAGAATATAAAGTCCCAAGGAAGAAAAGCTTTCTTTCTTTTGTTCTTTTATACTAATGTATAGGGTCTACCCCAGACCAATGGAATCTAATTTTCTGATGGGGGGTACAGGAACCAGGTTTGGTTGTTTTTTTAAATCCTCACAGGACATGTTTTTATTGATTTTAGAGAGAAAGGGATAGGGGAGGGGAGGTGGAGAGAGAGAGAGAGAGAAAAAAAAAACAAAAAACATCGATAGGTTGCCTGTCGTATGTATCCCAACCAATGATTGAAATCACAACCTGGTTATGTGTCCTAACTGGGAATCGAACCTGTGACCTTTTAGTGTATGGAATAACATTCCAACCAATTGAACTAAAGCAGCCAGGGCAAGAAATATTTTTCAATTAAAGCAATATATACTATTAACAAATTTCTTATTCTTTAGGAGATATTTCTAAAGGAGGCATAAGTGAAATTACCCAATCCAACTTGAAAGCCGACATCACTACCACTTCTGGAGATTCAGGCATTGGATCTCATTTACCCTTGTCTTCTGAGGACTTTTCTCAGTTGGCTGTAAGATCTTCTGTGGAGAATACTATTGGTATACATACTAATACTCTCAACCAACAGAGATTGGCAAATGGTCATGTAACTGAAGAGACTCTACAAGCCTTAGCTGTTCCAAAACTAGCTGACCAGCAGGCTGGAATTTCAACAGTGCCCTTTAGTTCCTACTCACAAAGAGAGAAGCCCAATATTTTCTACCCACAGGCCTTGAGAGACAGTCATCAAATCGAAGAGGCTCTAAGAGTTTCAGCTGTTATTGGATCTGTTGACCAGAAGAGCGAGAAAACAACAGTACCTTCTAGTTCCTATACACATAGAGAGAAGCACAATGTTTTTTCTCAGCCACTGCTGCCAGATAGTCTTCCTACTGAACAGGCTCTGAACGGTCCATTTGTTCCTGGACCAGCTGATCAAGTGACTGTGATACCAACAGTGTCCTCTACTTTATACTCACATGGAGAGGAGCCCTATATTTTCTATCAGCAGACGTTGCCCGAGAGTTCTCTAACTGAACAGTCTCAACAAGCGGCTGCCATCTCTGGATTTGCTGGCCAGAAGACTGGGATACCAACAGGAACCTCAACTTCTTACTCACACAGAGAGAAGCCCCATATTTTCTATCAACAGACATTTCCAGAAAATCATCTAACTGAGCAGGCTGTGAAAGTTTCTGTTGCTCCTGGATCCACAGAGCAGAAAACAGGCATACCAATAGTATCCTCTGCTTACTCACATAGAGAGAAGCCCAGTATTTTCTACCAGCAAGAGTTGCCAGTCAGTCATCCAACTGAACAGTCTCAACAAGCTGCAACTCTCTCTGGATTTGCTGACCACAAGACTGGAACCTCAACTTCTTACTCACATGGAGAGAAGCCCCATATTTTGTACCAACAGACTTTGCCAGAGAGCCAGCTAACTGAGCAGTCTCAACAAGCTGCAGCTGTTTATAGATTTGCTGACCAGAAGGCTAGGATACCAACAGGAACCTCTACTTATTCACATGGAGAGACCAGTTTTTTCTATCAGCAGAGGTTGCCAGACAATCAACTAACTGAACAGGCTCAGAAAATTTCATCTATTCCTGGACAAACTGACCAGAACACTGGGATACAAACAGGACCATCTAGTGCCTACTCACATAGAGAGAAACCCATCATTTTTTACCAGCAGGAGTTTCCAGATAGTAATCTCACTGAAGAGGCTCTAAAAGTTTCATCTGTTCCAGGACCAGGTGAGCAGAACACTGGGATACCACCAGGTTCCTCTGGGTTCTACTCATTTGAAGAGAAGTCCAGTACTTTCTACCAACAGGCATTAGCAGATAGTCATCCGACTGAAGAGGCCCTGAAAGTTTCCACCATTTCTGGACTATCTGACCAGAAGCCTGGGATACAGACATTACCCTCTACTTCCTATCCACATAGAGAGAAGCATATTATTATCTCACCACAGGCTTTGACAGATAGTCACCTACTTGAAGAGGCTCTGAAAGTTTCAACTGTTTCCAGACCAGCTGACCAGAAAACTGGGTTGCCATCAGAACCTCCTACTTCCTACTCACATAGAGAAAAGCCCATTTTCTACCCACAGGGCTTGACAGAGAGTCATTTGTTTGAAGAGGCTCTGAAAGTTTCAGCTGTTTCTGGACCAGCTGACCAGAAGACTGGGTTGCCATCAGAACCCCCTACTTCCTACTCACATAGAGAAAAACCCATTTTCTACCAACAAGGGTTGTCAGATAGTCATCTAACTGAAAAGGCTCTGAAAGTCTCAGCTGTTCCTGAAACAGGTGATCAGAAGCCTGGGATAACAACAGTACCTCCAAGTTCCTATTCACCTGGAGGGAAGTCCATTATTTTTTACCAACAGGCCTTACCAGACAGACATCTCACAGAAGAGGCTCTGAATGTTTCTACTTCTGGACCAGCTGACCAGAAGACTGGGTTACCTACAGTATCCTCTACTTCCTACTCTCATAGAGAGAAGCCCATCATTTCTTACCAGCAAGATCTTACTAAAGAGGCTTTAGAAATTTTAGGGGTTTCTGGACCAGCTGAGCAGAAAACTGGGATACCAGTAGTAACTTCTATTTCCTACTCTCCTGGAGAGAAGCCTATCATTTCTTATCAGCAAGAATTGCCAGATCATAATGAAGAGGCTTCAAAACTTTTAGCAATTCCTGGATCAGTTGACCAGAAGACTGGTGTACCAACTGTGCCCTCTTCCTACTCATCTAGAGAGGGCCCCATCATTTCTTACCAGGAGTTGCCAGATATTACTGAAAAAACTTTGGAAGTTTCAGCTGTTCCTGGACCAACTGACCAGAAGACTGGGATAGGAATAATCCCCTCAGGTTCCCCCTCATATAGAGAGAAGGGCAATGTTTTTTACCAGCAGAAGTTGCCAGATGTTACTGAAGAAGCTTTAAAAGTTTTTGCTCTTCCTGGACCAGTTGACCAGAAGACTGAGATACCAGAAGGATCTTCTAGTTCTTATTCACATAAAGAAAAACCCAGGATTTCAACTGTGATTTTACCGGATGACCAGAAAACTGAGTTTCCAACAGCTCCCCTCATTTCTTATGCACAGATAGAGAAACCCAAGAATTTAGCTGTGATTGAACCAAACAGCCAGCAGACTCCGGTACTGACAGTTTTTCATAATTCTTACTCTCAGAGAGTAACGCCCAATATTTTCTTTAAACAGCATTTGCCAACTAGACAACATAGTGAAGATATTCAGAAGATCTCATCTGTTCCTGAATCAACTGATGTGAATTCTAGGGTACCAATACCTCTTCCTAGTTCCTATTCACACAGAGAAAAATCTAATATTGTCTGTCCGCAGGAATTGTCAGACAAACGTCTAACTGAAGATGTACTGACAGTATCAACAATTCCTAAACCAGCAGACCAAAAAACTGTGTTACCAACAGCTCCTCCTCATTTTTTTTCACACAGAGAAAAACAAAATAAATTCTGTGAGCAGAATTTGCCAGATAGACATCTAACTAAAGATGCTCTAAAGTTCTCAAGTGGTCTTAGGCAAGCTGATCAGATTACTGGGTTATCAGCAGTTTACCCTGATACTTATTCACATAGTGAGAAGCACAAGTTTCTTTCAGACCATGTCGAAAGGCCAAAAGATCATTTGGATTCTTCTAACTCTAGTATTATCTCAAACACTATGCCCTTAAATTCTCAAGCTGATGGTAGAGTTGTAATAAATAAGCCAGAACCTTCAGGTTTTGAAGATATTGGCTCTGAGGAATTCCAGGGTACAGATAATGGTTCTAAAACTCTTAAAGAGATTCGGACACTTTTAATGGAGGCAGAAAATATAGCACTGAAACGATGCAATTTTCCTGCTCCCCTTGTGCCATTCAGAGATGTTAATGACATTTCATTTATTCAATCTAAGAAGGTTGTTTGCTTCAAAGAACCCCCTACAACTGATAAATCTAACATTGATTTGCCTCAGAGACAGTCATTCACAAAAGAGAATCCAAACAAGTACCTACAGAAGGATATTAGTACACAGACAAATCTGAAATGCCAGGGAGACATTGAAAATTGGGAGTTTGTTAGTTCAACTACAGTTAGAAGTCCTCTACAGGAAGCAGAAATCAAAGCCAGAATGGCATTAGATGAAACTCTTAGGCAATATAAAGCAGCCAGACCTGTAATGAGATCTGAACCTGAAGGGTGTAGTGGAACCCTTGGGAATAAAATTCTTATCCCTATGATGACTATCATAAAAAGTGATTCAAGTAGTGATGCAAGTTCCTGCTCATGGGACAGTAATTCCTTTGAATCAGTTTCTGATGTTCTTCTAAACTTGTTTCCATGTACTTCACCAAAGACAAGTATGACAGATAGTAGAGAGGAAGAGTGTGTGTCAGAGAGTGATGAAGGGCGTGGTAGTAGTGTGGATTCACTGGCTGCACACGTGAAAAACCTTCTGAAATGTGAATCCTCATTGAATCATGCTAAACAAATTCTCAGAAATGCAGAGGAAGAGGAATGCCGGGTACGAGCACGAGGTAGGAACTGATTATTTGTTATAAAAGCAGATGAAGCTTATAAACATTGTAGTTTAGTAATTTATTTAAAGTTAAGTATTTGGCATTCTAAATTTATTTTTTTATAGAACTGTTAGGATGATTGCATTTTCTGCAATCCAGAATAAGCCCATTTAACCAATAATGCAGCTAACTCACAGGATTAATAGTGCTAGTCTGAGTTTAGGGACTTAGGAAAAGTTAGTTCTGATGTCAGAAGGAGAGGAAAGTAAGTAGAGAGCTTGAAGTTTCCTAACTCCCAAAGCGCTCATGTTTTCCTTAATCCTCTCATGATAGTGTCCTTATTTTGGAGGCAGAAAAAAAAAACCCAATTTGCTCTGCTCTGAACCACTGTATAATAATAAAACTGCATATACTTTCTCGTCCCCTTTGATAATAAAGTTCTAGGAGCAGATTTTAGGTAGACATTGGAAAAAACTAATCAAGGTATTTCACACTAGAACTTGGCTTAGAGGTTGGAAGAATATTTATTAATCTTTTTAATTTCTAATAGTAGAATTCCATTAAAAAATATTCAGGACAATGTGGGGAATATATTTGGAAGGGTAACTTATAAGCAATCCAGACCTACCTGGGAATCTTTCCTTGAGAGGAACTGCCTAAGCCATTCCTTTTATCACTTAAGCATATTTTGATTTGCTAAAAAAACTCCCCAAGTTTTATTTATTTTAAAATATCAGCTCTTGTGGAAGTGGCAGAAATTGTAGCAGGAGCAAATGGGGAAGACAAAGGGACTGTTCTGATTAAAAGGAAGATTGGAATAAAAATGATTAAATACCATATTAATTAAAATGGCCTTGTTGGAGAAAAATCTGTAGAATGTGTGTTTAAAAAAATCAGACTCTTCAATGAAATGATCTCTCTCTAGAACTTCTAATAGTTTGTCATATAATTTAGAGCACACACTTTTTGCTAAGCATGTGGGAGCCATTAAATAGGTATAATGATGATCTTTTGTGCTCTTATAATCACTGAAAAATTCTCACTTTTGCATTGTATTATCTCAGGTGTTTTTATGTTTTCTCTTTAGCCTGGAATCTGAAGTTTAATATGGCTCGTGAGTGTGGCTACTCCATTTCAGAATTAAATGAAGATGACAGGAGAAAAGTAGAAGAGATCAAAGCAAAGTTGTTTGGCCATGAGAGAACTGACTTGTCCAAGGTATAAAAGAAATCTAGAAATGAAAAGAGAAAATGTGAAAGAGTAGTATAGAATTTGGATCTCTTATTTGGGTGTTGATGACTCTAGCTGAGTAACTGATAGTCTTTGGTTTAAAGTGTTAAGAGTCTTCTTCAAAAGATTAAGGATTAGATTCTGTAGGTTTTGATTTATTCCAAATTAATCTGTTGAAAAAATTTACCTCCTTTGAGAAATAAGAGGATTACTTTTATCAATATTCTATGGGCCCGGTGCATGAAATTCATGCACGGGGGAGTGGGGTGGTGTCGCTCAGCCCAGTCTGTACCCTCTCCAATCCAGGACCCCCCGGGGGATGTCCAGCTGTTGGAAATCCCTCTTGTAATCCCGGACCACTGGCTCCTAACCGCTCACCTGCCTGCTGGCCTGACCCTCCTTATTGCTCTCCCCTGCCGGCCTGATCACCCCTAACCACCTTTGCCTCGGCCCTGCCACCATGGCTTTGTCTGGAAGGTGGTCCAGAAGACGTCTGGTCCAATTAGTATATTACCCTTTATTAGTATAGATTGTTGTCACTCTTATTTCTCTTGAAGGTGATATCTTTTTTTATTTATTTTTTATTTTTTATTTTATTTTTTTAAATTAAATCTTTATTGTTCAGATTACATTTGTTCCTCTTTTTTTTTCCCCCCCATAACTCCCCTCCTCCCAGTTCCCACCCCACCCTCCGCCCTCACTCCCCACCCACTGTCCTCATTCATAGGTGCACGATTTTTGTCCAGTCTCTTCCCGCATCTCCCATTCCCCTTTCCCCCCCAAGAATAGTCTTGTCCATTCCCTTTCTATGTCCCTGATTCATTATAATCACCAGTTCATTCTGTACATCAGATTATTTATTCACTTGATTCTTAGATTCACTTGTTGATAGAAGCATGTTTGTTGTTCACAGTTTGTATCTTTACCTTTTTCTTCTTCCTCTTCTTAAAGGATACCTTTCAGCATTTCGTATAATACTGGTTTAGTGGTGATGAACTCCTTTAGCTTTTCCTTATCTGTGAAGCTCTTTATCTGACCTTCAATTCTGAATGATAGCTTTGCTGGATAAAGTATTCTTGGTTGTAGGTTCTTGGCATTCAGCACTTTGAATATTTCTTGCCAGTCCCTTCTGGCCTGCAAAGTTTCTGTTGAGAAATCAGCTGACAGTCGTATGGGTATTCCCATGTAGGTAATTGAGTCTCTTTCTCTTGCTGCTTTTAAGATTCTCTCTTTGTCTTTTGCTCTTGGCATTTTAATGATGATGTGTCTTGGTGTGGTCCTCTTTGGATTCCTTTTGTTTGGGGTTCTCTGCGCTTCTTGGACCTGTAAGTCCATTTCTTTCACCAGGTGGGGGAAGTTTTCTGTCATTATTTCTTCAAATAGGTTTTCAATATCTTGCTGTCTCTCATCTTCTGGCACTCATATAATTCTGATATTAGTGCGCTTGAAGCTGTCCCAGAGGCTCCTTACACTATCTTCGTATTTTTGGATTCTTTTTTCATTTTGCTTTTCCGGTTGGGTGTTTTAGGCTTCTTCGAATTTCAAATCTTTGGCTTGATTCTTGCGCTCCTCTGGTCTGCTATTGGGTATAATATTCTTTATTTCAGTCCGTGTATGCTTAATTTCTAGTTTCTTTATCGTAGCATCGAGGGTCTCATTAGTTTTTGTGAGGCTCTCCACAAGTTTATTGCAAGCCCTCAAAATTGCGTTTTTTAGCTCCATATCCTCCATTTCTGTCATGTTTTTTTGTCTCCGCATTTTTTACGCTTTCTTGGTGCACCCCCTTGTGATCTTTGTGCGCAGTCTTGTTCTAGTTAAGCCTTGATTTTTTTAGTTAATACTGAGGGATTTGACCACCAGGCTGACTGGCTGTGAGAATCAGCTGTGTGGAAAACTTCTGTCCTCTGGGGAGGTGCTACTCTAGCCTTTGCCTGAGGCGATCCGGCAAATGGCTCTGCGCAGGGCTTGGGCGGGGCGGGATCAACAGGGCGGGTGGAGGGAGCAGTTATGGCTGCTCTCATTCCCGTTCCCAGAGGCTCTGCTTCTCAGAACCCCGGCAGCCGCTGCAAACCTCGGAGAGAAAGCTGCCCTCAGATTCCAACTGATGCCGGACAATCCCGCTTCTCCCGTCTGAGTCTGAGTCCCTAGAGACTCGCCCGGGTCTGGAGCCCAGAGTCTGAGACTCCCTCCCGACTGAAAACGACAACCACGCCCTCAGCCACCAGCCCGATTTGCGCGCGCACCTGGGTACCTTTGTATTTTCCACACTGCGCAGCCTCTGAGCCTCGGTTTGCTGTTCTCTTTCCTTCTAGTTGAAGAGTCTCTCCTCAGCCAGCATCCCTGTGGTTCTGGGTGATGTCTGTTCCGTCTTTTAGTTGTATTTTTGAAGTGGTTTTTTGCGGCAGCAGTCTCCGGTGTTTACCTATGCCACCATCTTGGTTCCTCCCCCTGAAGGTGATATCTTGAGATGCCGATAAAGTCCCGCTATTTTCAGATGTATATCCTCTGCTTAGGAACACAGACCTAAAATAGTCTATGTATAAACCACTTCCTTTTTAATAGTACTTATTTTCCTCCTACTGTTTCATGATTACAAAATAGATATGAAACATGTATGTAAGGAATAAAGTGAAATTCCTATGTATCAGCCATTCAGCTTGAGAAATAGAATGTTACCAATGACACTGAAGTCCTGTGTGTACCCTTCTCCAGTCATATCTCTTTTACTACTTATCATAACATGTGTTGATTTTCTTGCTGTTCAGTATGGTTTTTAATTCTATAATATATGGAATTAACATGATATATATTCTTATGAGAATTGTTTTTCATATAATCTTAGGTTTTTTGAGATTTTTCTATGTAGCTATAGTTTATTTTTTATTTTTGTAAGTAGTTCAGTGTGTGAAATTATCAGTTTATTCTCTTGTTGATGGGGCATTTGGTCTGCTATTATGAGTAGTAATAGGTTGTAATAATACCTGTCTTAGAGAGTTTGGGTATGGCTTACAGGAAATAATGTCTATAAAATACTTAGTGTTCAGTAATTGTCAGCTCTTATTATTATTAAATCTGCAAAAGTCAATATAGCTACCATATGTGTAGACTTTTTAAAAAAATCCTCACCCAAAGATATGTTTTCATTGATTTTAGAGAGAGAAGGGAACGTTGATGTGAGAGAGAAACATTGATCTGTTGCCTCCTGTATGTGCCCTGGGGGATTGAACCCACAACCTAGGTATGTGCCCTGATTGGGAATTAAACTTGCAATCTTTTGGTGGATGGGATAACACTCCAACCAACTGAGCCACCCAGCCAAGGCTTAGACAATTTACTTTTAAAACAATTATTGATATAGTTGGTTAGTGTCTTCCACATTCGTTACTGTTTTCTACTTGTAGCCCTTGTTCTTTGTTTCTGGTTTTGTCTTCCACTCTTTCTGCCTTTTGTGGTTTTATTTTTTTAAATATATTTATATTTTTATTGATTTCAGAGAGGAAGGGAGAGGGAGAGAATGATGGAAACATCAATGATGAGAGAGAATTATTGACCAGCTGCCTCCTGCACATCCCCTACTAGAGATCGGGCCTGCAACCTGGGCATGTGTTCTTGACCGGAACCGAACCTGGGATCCTTCAGTCTGCAGGTCAATGCTCTATCAAGTGAGCTAAACTGGCTAGGGCCCTTTATGGTTTTAATTGAGCATTTTATGATTACATTTTCTCTCATTTTTTAGGATGTCAGTTATACATACATTTTATACATTTTCAATGATTGCCCTAGAATTTGTATCATATACTTACGACTACATCAATTTCAAATAACACTGTACCACTCACTTCACAGGTAGCATGGTATCTTCTAATAAAATAATCCTAATTTTTCCTTCCTGTCATTCCTGTCATTCAGTTTATACACACACACACAAGCACACACGCACACGTACATGTACATACATGCATACATAGCAATGTTTCAAACTATTTTTTTGGATCAGTTTGGTATAAGAAAAAGGTTGTATTTGGTTTTTTTTACCTTCACTGTTTCTTTCTTTGATGTTCTTTCTTTCTTTATGTAGATCTGAGTTTTTGACCAATATTTTTCTCTGTTAAGTTTTTCTGTTAACATTTGTTCCATTAACTGGCATAAATTCCCTCTATTTTAATTTGTCTGAGAAAGTTTTATTTCTTGTTCAGTTTGAAGGGTACAGAATGCTAAGTGGGCTGGATTTTTTTCTCTCAACATTTTAAATACTTCACTCTATTCTCTTCTTGCTTGCATGATTTCTGCGGAAAAGTCAGATGTAATTCTTTGCTTTTCTGTAGATAAGGTGTTTTGTCCCCTTGGCTTATTTCAAGATTTTTTTCTTTATGTTTGCTTTTCTTTACTTTGAAAATGTTATGTCTAGGTGTAGTATTTCTGGTTTTGTGGGGGGTGTTCTTTTTGGTTTTCTTCTCTTTTTGGTATTTTTGTTGTTAATGTATTAATATCTTGTCCTGGAGTCCTTTGATGTTTTGGTCTGGGGTTTTTCCTTCTTTTACATTTTAGTTTTGGAGGTTTCTGTTGAACTCTCCTGAAGCTCAAGATTCTAGCCTTGGCCATGTGCAGTCTACTAAAGAACCTATCAAAGCATTCTTCATTTCTCTTACAGTGTTTTTTATCTCTAGCATTTCTTTTTTCATTCTTTCTTAGGATTTTCATCTCTCTGCTTACATTGTGTTTGTGTTCTTGCATGCTGTTCACTTTATCCATTAGAGCCCTTAGCATATTAATCATAGCTATCTTAAATTCCTTGTCTGGTAGTCACAATATTCCTACTATATCTAGTTATATGCTTGCTCTTTTTTTTCTTTGTAGTATGCTGTGTTGTGGAGCCTGTAGCTGGTGTATTAAATTAAAAAATTCAGATTATAATCTCTTGAATGTAGGCACATACTACCCACATGGGCTAGGCAGGTAGCTTTCTCAGCATCAGAGCTTCCACTTTG